GAACATGTGAAGTGCTGTAGGACAAAGCAAAATATGAAAAGGAGTCGAGTAAGGGACATCTGGAGTGCTGGGGCAGGTGTGAATTTAATTAGGGTGGTCAGGAGAAGCCTCCTTGAGAAGGTGAGATTTGAGCAAACTCTTGAAGGAGGTGAGGGTGTCCATCATGTTCCTGTCTATTTGGGGGAAGAGCAATCCTGAAAAAGAAGTTTCAGGACGAAGTTCCCAATGGAGGAACAAGCCTGTGTGTTCTAGGCCCCTCCAGGAGGCCAGTGTGTCTGGAGCAGAGCTGGTGAGAAGACACACGGTAGCTATAGTAGATGAAGCCAAAGACCTAGAGTGTCTGTGAGGGAAACGAGAAACTACTGCAGGGTTCTGAGCAAAGAGTCTGACTTACATTTTGAAAAAAGAGCTAAGGTAGCTGGGGTGATGAGAGGATGTAGAGGGCAAGGGTGAAACCTCCAGTCAGGAGGCGATGACAGTAATCCAAGCTGGAGACAATGGTGGCTCAGAACAAGAAGGGCAGCCATGACAGAGGGCAAGGTGGACATGGTTGGATTCTAGATATATTGTGAAGACAAAGTCAACAAGATTTCTACATGGGTTGGACATGAGAGAGAAAGAGAGGGTCAAGGGTGACTCCAAGGTCATCTGAGAAGGATGGAGTTGACTTCAACAAAAGAGATTTGGAGTAGAGGCCACAAAGAGTTTGGTTTTGGACACTTGTCACACCGCAGTGGGGGTCTTCTTTTCAAAATCTACTCCTGTCATGCCTGGATATCATTATGTTTTCCCTCTTTCCCGGCCATACAAAGACTGAGACTACCAGTGTGGCCTAGGTAAGGCCCTCATTGGGTCCCTACCATCTCTCTGGCTCTGTATTTGTATGAGACTTACCTTTAGACTCATTCTTCCAGCCACACTGGCCTCCCTCCCTTCAGCTACTTGAATATGGATGCTCTTTCCAATCTCCAGCACAAGCTAATGCATGGAATGCCCTGCCTGGAGTGCCCAGCCACCCTCTACTCCCACTGCGCCCATTCTTTATCTCAGTGACATCCTGCTCAGGCTTCAGAGCTCAGCTTAGATGCCACTATTTTAAGGAAACCTTAGGTCTCCCCATATGCTCTCTCCTAGTGCACGACATTTGTTTCCTGTAATTATATAATTGTATGATTATCTGACTCACATACTTCTTCCCCCTAGACCATAAGCTCCCAGGGGGCTGGATTCACGTCTGTTTTGCTAACATTGTACCTCCAGTGCCTTGCACAATATCTGGCATATAGTAAGTACTTAGTAAATGTCTGTTGAATGAATCAATTATGGTTTACTATCCACTAAAGAAAATGCCATTATACATTTCCTCTCTTCCAGATTCTTTGTGTAATTCTAGTATAAGGAATACTGAACTAGAAAAAACATGAAGGAATTAAAACAACATTATCATTTATAATAATTAGTAATATCATTATGCTCATTAAGGAGTCTAAGCCATGACTGATCCCTTTCCGTAAAATGTGGCAGGGCTCACCGGATTTCTGGTTCTCAGAAACCAGCTTCTATTACAGACTTGCGTCGTCCATCCTCTTGAAGACAAAGTCACGTGACTTGTTTAGGCCATTAAAACATGAGCAAAAATGACGTGCCTCAATTTCAGGCAGAGGTGTTTGACAGCTGGTGCGTAAACCACTAACTCCACCCACCTGTATTCATTTCCTGTGGCTGTCAGAAGAAATTACCACAACTGGGTGCCTTCAAACAACAGAAATCTATTCTCTCACAGTTCTTGAGCCTAAAAGAACGAAATCAGGGTGTCAAGAAGGCCACTCTTCTTCTGAAGGCTCTAGGGAAGAATCTCTCCTTGACTCTTCCAGGAATCCTTGGTGTTCCTTGGCTTGTAGATGCATCACTTCCATCTCTGCCTCCGTCTTCGCGTGGCATTCTCCCTGTGCGTCTCCTCTCTCCTTTCTCTTATAGGGATATCAGTCATTGGATTTAGGGCCCACTCCAATCCAGTATGACCTCACCTGAACTTGATTACTTCCGCAAAGACCCTACTCCAAATAAGGTCACATTTACAGGTACTGGGGGTTAGGATTTGAAAATAGCTTTTAGTGGGACACAATTGAACCCGTTACACCATCGTACACTGGCAATCATGAAGCACGTGTTCAGATGGAGCCGTCATCAGCCTGGGTCCCAGAGTGACCGCAATGAGACAGGTTTGTGTCTCCCAGTTCACCTCAGTTCAGACACACATCCGCTGAGTAGAGTGGCAGGCTGAATCACCTGCACCAGGTAAAGTACTCATCCCTGTAGCTTTCTGATGACTACATTTAATTGATTCATGTAAATTAAATGTGTCTACCCTGTACATCATTTCTTGTGCCCTGTCTCCAGACTGTCCTCCATAGCATATATTCCTGTTGATCGTCAATTACTTACTGAGTGCCTGTTGTATGTCTATCATTGTGCTATGTGCCAAGAGGGATGTGTGGGAAATTAGACACAGGGATCCTAATCTCAAGGAGTATATAATCTAATCTGGTGGGCAAGATAGGAAAAACTATATGAGTATTAGCTGAAATTGTCAGAGGACACCAAATAATAAGACTTGACAGGCAACCCTACCAGGGCTCCCAGTCTATTCCAGGCCCTGTGCCAAGCACTCTACAGGTATTACTCTTTAAACCCCAAGGAGGTGTACCCCATGAGGCTCGTATTTTATACCCACTTTACAGGTCAGGAAACAGAGGCTTAGAAAGCTTTCAGCAACTTGCCCAATGGTCACTTGGGATTGCAATCCAGATCAGTCTGGGTCACAAAAGCAGGGTCCCCTGGACTTTCCTGTACTGCCTCTTCAATTCAGCCGAGCCTTGACGGGACGCTGGAATATGGTAGTCTACACTCTGGACTACACAAAGTTAGGTTCTGCTCACACAGTTCCCCGTGAGCTGAACTGCTCATGTGGCTATATCACCAGGGTGCAGTAAGAAGTAGAATAGAACAGTTAAGCTATTCTTCCATTTGTATTTCAGCGTTGGCAGGTTGGCCTTCCTACCTAACTGGTTTTTACGAACTAATCCAAACTCAAATTTTCACCTTTCCTGTTATAAGATGGGGCTAACTTTCACACTTCAATTTTCTGTCTCAGCCATGGATGCAAAGATTTTTCATTTGGGGGCCTCCATTTCTCCTCTGAAGCATTAAAACAATTAAAAGAAACAACATGAAACCAAACCAACCCTATTCTTAAGTGCTTCCAACCCTGTTTCAATACAGCCTTATGAGGATTGTTTTCCAAACAGCTGTGTATGAAGCCATCCACTTTGAAATCTGTTCTTCCTATGTAGACATAGCCTGTTGTCTATGCTTGGAGAAGCAGGGAATACCCAAGCTGGCACTCAATAGTAGCAAATATGAAATCGACCATTAAAAAAAGAAAAGTTGTAGGAACGTTAAAAGCCAGGTTGACTGGTTTTTACATTTCCCCGGCAGCATTCCCATGCTAGCGTTGGCATGGAGACTAGAAAAAGAAACTTTCCACCAATCTGTCACTTGCTACTGTTTCCACTTATTTTACTGTAAGTCCAATTTTAACAATTTTTTAAAGTTAAAAAAAGAGTTTGATTCATTTTGTTTTCTGTTTCAGGATGTTTCTCAAACATGAAAACACGGGTAAGAAAGGTTATAAAAATAGTCAAAGCCTTGGTTCTCCCAATATTCAGCTGTTTAACATTCAGATAATTGTCTGCTTTTTTTTTTTTTTCTTTCCACAGTTTGTCTGAGTGCTTTGGCATGGGGGAGCCCCACAGTCTGAAAGTAACTTTGTCCCGACTCTCCTCACTGCATTTATTAAAGAGGCTGAAAGACACATCTGCTTCTCAACAATTTGTGGATCTGAAGGGAACAGGGAAAGCTGGAGCTCCTGACGATTCAGGAACAAAGTTGGTCTTCTCAAAACTTGGGTGCAAGCAAGTTTGGCGAGGTTACACTCAGGTATTTTTTAAATCATTTTCGCTGAGGAAAAACAGGCTCAAGATTTGGAGTGAGGCTAGGGTCAGAGGTGGAGACAAACTTGTCGCCAGTCCTCTCATGGGCTGCCTAGAATCCAGGAGGCACTCAATTCATGTTTACACAAACGAACGAATCTCAGTAACGCTGCATGGCATCTTATAAGACGGAAAGGTGATTTTCCTGGGTTGGAAAGGAACAGAAGAGAGAGCTGCCTACCTAGGGCTTAAGGGGCCTCAGGCTGGCACCCGAAGCCAGGCGTTCTCATTTCCCTTTGGCACCATCCTGAACTGCCAGAAGCTGGCGCGATGCTAAAGGAGGGAGGAAACGCATGTGAGGAAAATCAGAGAGGAGAGGCTCGGGAACAGATGTGAGTATAAAGGGAAAGCATTTGAAATGAAAGAAATAAATTGGACTCCCACAGCTGGAAGGACAAACCCCTCCATGTCGTCAGGGATGTGGGATTAGGGGTGATTTCGCTCTCTCTTTGTTCTTTTCCCCCTCATCCACGTTTCCAGTTTATGTGTTTGATGTCTGTCTTTTCTGGTCAGTTACCGGACCACGAGGACAGACCCAGTGGCAGTACCTGGCATAGAGCTGGGTATGAAAGACTTCCTGAACAAATGAACACCGTCAGAGGCTCTTGTTCCCACCCCACACCCCCGGGCCCCCCAGCGCGCTCCCCCAATGTGGCCACAGCGCCTGGCGCGTAGTAGGCGCTCCCTAAACATCTGTAGAGCAAATGAGCTGCAAGTTTTCGGCGCGGAGCACGTGGAGCTTTGGAAACCAGGACGGCCGATGAAGTGGGTGTCAGATCACAAAAGCGACCCGGGCGCGTGCGACAGGCGGCGGCGGGCGAGAGGCGAGAGCGCTGCAGGGCGCGGGGCGCGGCGCGGGGGGCGCTGCCTGCGTGGCGCCCGAGGCGGGGGCGTGGGGGCCGCGCGCCGGCACGTGCTCGGCTTGGCTCGGCTCGGCCGCTGGCGGGGCGGCGAGGGGCGCGCGGGTGCGCGTGCGGGCGCGGGGTGTGTGCCCGCGCCGTGCCCCCTGCGCGTGCTGCCAGGCGGGCGCCGGCGTGAGTCACGGCCCTGCTGCCTTTATAACGGCCGCGAGGCGCGCGGAGCCGCCCGCCCGACCGCTGCTCCGCGTTCCGGCGAGCGCGCCCGGCCCGCGCCCCCAACGTCCCCCAACCGCCGGCCAGGCCCGAGGGCGCCATGAGGAGCCCGCGCTGCGCCCCGCTGCTGCTCCTGCTGCTGCTGCCGCCGCTGCTGCTCACGCCCCCCGCCGGGGACGCCGCCGTCATCACCGGGGTAAGCGGCCCGGGCGCACCTGTCTGCCCCGCTGCGCGCCCGCTGCGCCCCGGGCGCTGGGCAAGGGGACGCGAGGGGCACGGGAGGGTCGCCCCGGGCGGGGACACCTGCCTCAGTCGCCTCTTGGCGCACTTGCAAGAGCGCGCTGCTCCAAAAGCAGCAGACGGCCCGGGAAGAAAAAGGGACCCAAGTGTCACCCCACCGCTTTCATCACCACCTCTCCCGCTTGCTTCCCCCTTATCCCCCTACAGCCTCTCTCCCTGGGTTTGGTCTCTTTTTCTGTTAAGCAGAAAGAAGTTTTCTTTCAGTGTCTTCTCAAACGCTTTTTCGAGACCTTCCAGCCTTGAACCTTAAAATTTCAGGGCTCCTTCCTGAAACGCAAGGAGCAAGACGAATACCCCAAATCCCGAGTCTTAAGCCCACAGTGAGGAGTTTGCTCCCCAATGCATCCTCCGCAGAAACCCTTTGAAATAACTTGGTCGTGTGGGCTCTTCCTGCTGGGTTCCAGGGCTTTTTTTTTTTTCAGCATCTTGAGGTTCTCCCCGTAAAAGTTTTCCGTTTCCAACTCCTGATAAAGCACCTCCAGCGCTCCCGGGTGATTATGGAGCAGGTTGCCATGTAGATGTTTCGACTTAAGACGTCTTCATCATTTGGGGAGATGGGAACTAGTTCAAGCCCCTGCTGCTCCCACCAGCAGTTTTCTTTGTGTGAATCTGAAGGATGAGTTTACAGTACAAAGTAGAAAAGTCTAGTCTTCTTTACATCAGCAGTGCAAAACCGCTGCCATTTCCTGGTGGTTCAACTGCTTCACTCTTTTTTTTAAAGTCTGAAATTATTTTACACCTCCCTTAAATTATTTCGAATACCTAAGTGCACATTATAGGATTCAAATGAAACTTCTATGTTGAAATGATGATATGTAGATAATGAAATAACCTTTAAATTTAAGGGAAATGTCTTTTTGTCTTGAGAAACTAAACCTCTTCTTGTCTCCATGTTCATTAATAGGCTTAGAGCATATTGAAAGCCCTTGTACTTTAACAATATTTAGTTATATCCAATAGATATTTAGTTATGTGTCATGTTATTTACTAGAATAGTTTCGAGGTTTTTTAAAAAATATATTTGAATAGCTTTGTCAGTAGCCAGTCCATGTGGTTGAAAAGAAGTTTTTCCAGGTCTTTCTAATACATGAGAATTGAAACATGATTGGTTTTTTCTCCCCTCTTCCCCTGCTGGCTCATTTTAAATTTCTGCTAATCCTCTGAGCCCAAAATTCCTGTGCGATATAAGTATCTTTTTGTTCCATTCACAGGACAACACTGTTTGAATAGATCTGCAATGAGTTAAGGATGAAGGGCATTAGGAAAACAGCTGTCTAATTAAAAATATATAAACCTAGGCAATTCTTTGTAAATATTTCCAAGAACTGGAGCTTTTTGTTAAAGAATGAAATTTTATCACATTGGATGTTTATCTGTTAGAAAGGTTTAGACTGAGCTTATTATATAGTTATGTGTGCTGTTTTTGTTGTTTTAACTCAGCATTGCAAAAAGAATTTTAAAAAATTTCTCTAAAGCAACGTGGCAATAAAGAAATGTAGTTATGTCTCCATGACAGGAACCATCTGGAGTCAAATGAAAAACTCAGTAACTTATCTAGATACATCGTGTATAGGATGTTAAACATCCAAGTGATTGATTGAATTTTAAAAGATTTTGGCTGGATTTTGATTGTCTTATAAAAAGAGCTGGTGGGGCTCCGTAATTCCTGGTCTTGAGCATCTGTTGAAATAAAATACTGCCTGAAACCTTCACCTTAAATATTTACCTTTTTTTAGTAATATGTGTAGTTATTTAAAAATTGATTTATATGTCCACATAGATTTGTTAAAAGCATATTGGAAAAGATTGCGTACTGAACATCTCGTTTATGGAATGTAATGGCCACGTATACATGATTTCTGGCATACAGATAAAAATTGGAAAATGGAAATGTTATTTTCCTATAAATGTTCAAACACCCCAAGGTCAAAATTGTGGTTTTGGTCCAGATACTTGTTTTAAATAGCCTGAGAAAAAAAATTCTAATCGGGGAAATAGACCAATTCTAAAGCAAGATATTTAGTTGGTCACTTTTAATGAAAAATAACAAACAAGGGTGTGCCCATATATTTATGTTTTGAGAAGCCCCCCAGACTAAGAACTTTGGAGTGTTTTAGTTGTTTCCAATAAATGTATATTTAAATTTGGGTCTGAATTATAGACTTTTTAATTTCTTACATACATAGTACAGGATGTTTTTACCTTATCATTAGCAAAACAGATTACTGCCTTCCATTCGAACAAAGCATCCTATTTTTTTTGTTGGTTCTAGGAAAGAACAGTAGTTCTTCAGATCTATTTTCATGCAAATAAATTTAGACTTCATTATTTCCATTTAGTAGGGTATGTGAATTCCTCCATAGTTGATTCTTTGATTATGTGTATTTACAGTTTTTATGTTGGGAACAGATGCCTTGAGTAAGCACTGTTGATAGCTGCATGTGTCACTTGCGTTTCTAAATCTGATGGATCTTATAGAATAGTTCAGCTGAGTTTGCAGTGTACACAAAGGTATATCCTAAGCCAATAATTACCTTTTTGCGGGTTACTCACCCCAAAAAAGAGTAACATAAAGGCAAAAGTCTTGGTCTGTCCACTCTCACCCTATGAGATTTCTTTCTTTAAAGAGGAAATGGTGAAAATCAAGTCAGTGGTGTGAGAAACATCAAGTCTCATGAACCAAAATGCAAATATTTGAAAGAGAAAATGAGCACTTCTGAAATTTACATCAGTGCCTTTATGTGTCTGGAGCATTTCATGCCAGATTTAGAGACCATTTAAATCCCTTTTTAACATTGGGCCCAATGTGTTCTGCAGTTAATAGTCATAAAATCCTGTGATTCGATTTATGTCGTTCCTAATGGCCATGTATGGTATAAGACTAATATAGACTCTTTCTTCAAGTTCAAAGCCAATTCAGCCATAAAGCACTAGAAAAAGCAAGCTGCTTTTGTTTTTTTAAAAATCCTTGTTTATTTAAGATTTTCATAATGTGTGGGCCATTATCTAGGCCATTTTTTAAAAACTAGGAAAATCTCTTCTGATCAGATTTTATTGTGAAAATGTGCAAAGCAAAAGCAAGTGAAGATTACAGTTCTTTTTTATATATGTGATTATTAAAATCATAGCAGTTGGAATACCCTATGACCCAGCCATCCCATTACTGGGTATCTATCCTAAGAACCTGAAATCAGAAATCCCAAGAGTCCCTTGCACCCCAATGTTCGTCGCAGCATTATTTACAATAGCCAAGACGTGGAACCAACCTACATGCCCAGAAACTGATGATTGGATAAAGAAGATATGGTATATATACACAATGGAATACTACTCAGCCATAAAAAAAGACAAAATTGGCCCATTCACAGCAACGTGGATGGACCTCGAGGGTATTATGTTAAGCGAAATAAGCCAGTCAGAGAAGGACGAACTCTATATGACTCCACTCATAGGTAGAAGTTAGTATATTGATAAGGAGATCTGATCGGTGGTTCCCAGGGAAAAGGGGGGTTGGGGGGAGGGCACAAAGGGGGAAGTAGTGTACCCACAACATGACTAACAAAAATGTACAACTGAAATCTCACAAGGTTGTAATCTATCATAACATTAATAAAAAAAAAAATGTACTTCAACCAGAAAAAAAAAAAAAATCATAGCAGTTGGATATTTAAAGAGCTTTTTTTTTTTTTTTGCCGCTAATTTTAGATTTCCTTAGTTTGAGTCTTACCCGCTATCTACATTTATCTGTTTGTTTATTGCATTTCAGGCCTGCGACAAGGACCCCCAGTGTGGTGGAGGCATGTGCTGCGCTGTTAGTATCTGGGTTAAGAGCATAAGGATTTGCACACCTATGGGCAAAGTGGGAGACAGCTGCCATCCGCTGACTCGTAAAGTTAGTATGTATATTTGTATTCATGGTGGTTCTCTTACGTTTTGGTGCTTTAACCCTGAGCAAGGCGTGTATGACATGACCCCAGGGCAATGTGCGTGAAATGGGAAGTTAGAGAAGATGACAACAGAAAACCACCGCCTCTCTCCTCTCTGCTTCTGTTTTAAAGAATTGTGTCCTCTACCATCTTTATTTTGGTGATAATTTTCATATCATTGCTCTCGTGGCATTAGAAACATTTCATTAAAATAATTCTAAACACATGAATTTGCTTAAAAATTATTTAGGACTATATATATGTATATATATATGTGACTATATGTGTGTGTGTGTATATATATATATATATGTACTGTGTATCTTCTTTGCAGACATCAGAGTCTAGAAGTTCTTGGAAAAGACTTTTGGTATCAGCCCTACCAATGAGGCAGAAGTAAATAAGTTTGTGTTTTGTTTTGCTTTTTTGCAGAACATCATCGAAAGTACAATTACTCTTATATCTTAATTTAAAAGTCCTATATTTTGACTCTATCTACAAAAGATTGTTTGTCATCCTAGAGGTTAATGATATTTAATTTTTCAATTTATCTTATTATCTAATAGCTCCACACTACAGTGACCTAAACAACGCTTTTGAAAAGTTATTGACAATGAGTGGCGTGACCGGACGATGGCGGATTGAATGGGGCTCTAGCCGCTGGGTTGCGGGCTCTCCTGTCTGTAGGGGCCAGGCGCATTTACGTGACCTCAGGCGGGGTGGGTTGGAGACAGGAGGGAGCAGAGAAGTCTGTGGACCCTGGAGAGTCCTTGCCCTTCAGATTCACAACTTTTGAAACACAGTTTGATGTCAGCAAAATCTCCTGGGGATGCCAGGTTGCAGCGTCTTGCTCTCCCAGTCCCACCTCCTGGTCTTACCCAGCAGGAAAGTGAAGTCCAGAGGCACCGAAGGATGCGTCCGAGGCTGGGTGGCCGGTGGAGGCCCAGCTCAGTCTCTCTGCCACGTTCTCTCTACACATTGTGTACTCTCATTTTAAAATAGACTGAATATTTTCAAAGCAAACTGAATTCTACCTTCTGCCTTTTTTTTTCTCATGTCATAGAGTTTAAAACTGTGGTAGAGCCAGACATCTTTCCTGTACTCCACAGTTGCAGAAAGCAGTTACTGTTTGGGCATTGCTGGAATGAACCTCATGAAATAAACTGGCTCAGGTTTAGTGCTATGAGCTGTAATAGGGACTCTGGTTGTTTGGACCCATCTGAAGACTGAATTTGGCTTTCCTGTGGTTTCCTTGAGAAATACTTCCTGTTACGTGTAGACTGTGCCTCCCCATGCTTTTACCACTCGAGACTAGACTGTCATTTTTAAACATGACATGCACCTTCTATTCTTGGCTGTTTTAGAACGGGAAAGGTTCTAAACCATTAGTCGTCTGTCTCCATGCCAAACTCCCCACAAGGAGGTGAAGCTGGCCCAGCCACCTTTGGCACTGATCTCCATTTTTTCATCACCCTTATCGAATGTGAGTCATCTTTTGTACTTTTGAACTGCTGTCGCTGAAAAGTTTACTCTTGACTCAGCCTTCTCCTTTAAGAACGAGGTTGTTTTCGTCCAGTGTGGGTATAACCTCACACGCCCCAGGTACTAGAACCATGCAGCCTGTTTGCTAAAACAAGTGACGAGTGACACAGTCCCTGGAACTGTTTTTGTATTAACAGCAGTAAGAGTTGCCACTTGATGAATGCAGTGATGTACCAGACGCTCTGTGGTAAATGTTGTATTTCTTGTTTAATACTCACAACAAGTCTGTGAACTGGGTTTATTTTTGTCGTGCTTTCCATACAACAGTAAGCCTTGGAGGGCTTTCATAACTGGTGGAGGTCGAAGGTAATAGGTCAGAGGGCAGGCACTGGACTGGACTTCTTTCTGAGGCGCCGTTGTCTCTGCGGTCTCAACCACCATACTCTTCTACCTCCGTGAAAGCTATCATGTTTAATTTGAACATTTTTTAGTCGAGTTAACCAAAACTGATTCGTGTGGGTAAAATGGTCACTGAAATAAAGGATAACGGTCCAGAGTGGGAATTTGTCACATCCTATAGTTCCGATGAGTTTTCCAAATTTGAGGTATCTTTAAAAGAGAACCAAATTCTGTTTCCCCGGTTCCTATATAGTTTCTGGTTCAGGTTTAGTGCAGGGTCAGATCTGAAAGTAAACAAAATCATTCTTCTCCCAAAAGTCCACCGGCAGCTCTACGCTTTTGATTTTATCAAGGTTTTAATAATGAAGCCTTTAATAACAGATTATGGTTTTCATAGCAGAATTGAATGATAGAAGAACTGAAAAAAATAAAGTTTTACATCTGATCTGAACTTTCCTCATATTCAGATGCCCACTTGAAATGTGTTTCTAGGGGCCGGCCCCGTGGCCAAGTGGTTAAGTTCACGCTCTCCGATTTGGCGGCCCGGGGTTTGGCCAGTTCGGATCCTGGGTGCAGACATGGCACTGCCCATCAGGCCACTCTGAGGCAGCGTCCCACATAGCATGGCCAGAGGCGCTCACAACTAGAATATACAACTATGTACCGGGGGGCTTTGGGGAGAAGAAGAAAAAAAAAAGATTGGCAACAGATGTCAGCTCAGGTGCCAATCTTTAAAAAAAAAAAAAAGAGCTGACTCTTTCTCACCAGTGTCAGGCTACTTCTAAAAAAAAGAAAGAAGAAATGTGTATCTAGAACTCAGTGTTACAGCTTTTCCCATTGGTTATTTTACTGTCTTGAATATACATTTTCATAGGTCATTTCAGTGACCCGTTTTTAGTCCCAGAGTTGTTACTTGTACTGGATGAAATTAACCTATCATGGTAAAAATCTAGTTTCTTCCAGAATATCTCTTGACTATTTTCTATTCAAAACAACTTGAGAAAAAAATTTTTTATAAATATATCCTAGTGAAACTCTGCTCTGAAGTTTAATGGCTCATTAGTAGATGGTACAAATGTAAACACCCTATAGAAAATTCTGTTTTAATGTGATGTATTCATTACCCCCCCCATTTTTTTTAGAAAAAATGAATTAACTCCTTGTAGTCAGAGGGATTCGTGTTTTAAAAACACAGGCTATGAATATGTGAAGGTTACACCTGTTCACATTTTAAACTTTCCATTCTGGTTTGGCTTAGTCATTAACCACAGAAGTCTGTTGTTTTAATAAAGTGAACAATATTTGATGAATGAAATTGAGAACTGTCAGTAGGAACTGATGGCCACGGAGTTCAGCTCACTATTTTATTCCAGATGCATCAATTAACTTGTACCGTTTAAAGTCACTGTTTGGCTTTCATTTTGTAATTGTACAGTTTTTAACTTTACATTTGGTAATTCAAAACCGGAATAAAATATAAGTCCACCTAAGAAGAACAGGATGCATGTTTTCTAAACACAGTTTTAAGCAAATAATAGTTTTAGCCTGTATTCATTTTGAAGAATTAATTTTTTAACAAGAGTGAGTTACTGAATCATTTGTCTACGGGGAATACTTGGCTGTTTTTAAAAAAAAAAAACGCTAATTTCTATTAATACCTACACTTTTCAGAGTGTACAAAGATTGGCCATTTCCATCCCATTCTGATTACTGATTGACTTTGGAAGTTTATGATTATGTGATTAATACTCATATTTTTATTGCTTATTATGTTATTAATTTTTTCCATTTAAATAGCTGTTTCCTCAAAAAAATTCATCTTGTTTGTTTATTTTGCTTATGTTTATTTTGTTTTATGTTAAAATTTTTAGCATTAGTTTTGCTTTTTTTTTAGCTGCACTTTAAAACTTGACCAATACATTTTCCTTTTCTGAAGAAAAATATTTCAGGTTAAAATGTAGATCTTGTTTGTGTAAAAAAAAAAAGTGGAAGACTTAAAAAATTATTAGCTCTTTTTATTTTAGAACCAACCTAAATGGATGGTTGGTTCTAAAATACACAATTTCAGAATAGAGTGTAAAATTTTTTTAAATACTAACTAAAATATAACTAATATAACTACAAAATTTATTGAAAGATGTGTGGTAGAAAGCACAGTATGCTAATTTCCTCGCCTTTCTTGTCACGGATGTCAAGAGCCACCATCTCCATTTGGCAGCATCGTAGCTGCGATTACAGGTTCAAATCGACAGAGAGACTCACAAGACATAAGTGTGCTTGAGTCTGGTGCAGGGTTTCTCAGCCTGGGCTCTGTTGACTTTTTAGGCTAGCTAACTCTTTGTTGTGGGGGCTGTCCCGTGCACTGTAGGACGTTTAGCAGCATCCCTGAGCTCTATCCACTAGATGCCAGTAGTCCCCCTCCCCAAGTTGTGACAACCAAAAACGTCTCTAGACTATGACAGATGTCCCCTGGGAGGGTTTGTGGGGTGCAGGTTGCCCTGGTTGGGCACCACTGGTCTAATGCTACATTTACAGGCTTACAGGACACAGTATAGGAGATGCAGCATCCTGATTTCATTGGGAGCTTAGCAGCTACCCAAGCACACAGTTGCTTTTGCCTCTCATCCACATGGGGTGCTTGTGGCTGCCACAGATGAGAGACAGGGTGTGTGGGGGCTTCCCTTGACCCACGGAAGCTACTGCCATTATTTCTTGCAAATCTTTTATGCCTTCCTAGTCCCAGAGGCCCAGGGGCATGAACAGCTCCCCCAACCAACTGAGGCCAACCCCCATTCCCTGTTCTCCTTTAGTCTTTCCAAGGACACAGTGCAGTGGGAGGCCCAGGGCCATGTCAGGGCGCCTCCATCAGCCAGGGCCACGTGTTAACCCTTTACTCACAAGAGGGGAGTAGGTAAATAATTGCATTATTTAAAGTTATATGAATATATACCTATTCCAAAAGAATTTGAAGAAACAATTTGAAACTTTACCAAATTAAGATACAATGGCGCTCTTCATAGTTATTAAAACCAGAAAGTGTGGGAGTGTAGGATTTTTAGTTTTTATTTAATGCACTATTATACCATTTGAATTTTTTTGAACTATGTACTTCTATTGAAAAAGCTATAACAAAACTGATTTTATCAAAAAATATAATAAGACCAGTGCTTTTTATGTCACATGACTAGGCTTTTTTCCATGTATCTCATTATATTTTCTTCTTTGACGTAATTGGCTGTTTTGAGAGAAATCACAAAAAATACTTTTGTTTCATATCAGTGCTATTTTTTCTTTTAAAGTGTTGCAAGTGGATAAGAATCATACCTTCCTGAAAGTGCTGAAGGTTCTGCCTTGGGAATTTCTAGAATTTACTGTTTGGAATTCTAGGCTATTGGAAACGTTGAGTTGAATGCATAGTTGGTTCTAAAGTAAACCGTCAAGTTTGGGCTGAATGGCTAGCTCCTTGGCTGTATTCATACATCTGAATATGCGTCTTCTGTAAACACTCTGTCATGCGTTTGTGACCTTCAGACACCTATTAGGGTCGTCACACAGTGTGTGTAGATCTAGAAGTGAGTAGGCCGTTCAACAAATGGGCCAGTATCTACTGAGCGTATCAGATCAGAAATCGCGGTCTTTGTGGTTAGGAGCTCAGAGATGGAAGGGAGAGGGGAAACTGCTACGAGCTGGCGCAGTTAAGAAAGGCTTGCGGGAGGGAGGGAGGAAGAAACGCAGACTGGATCTTAAAAAGGGAACCGGATTCCTTAAGAAAAAGAAAAGGGCATCCAGGTAAACGAGGACCTCCAGGACAGTCTAATCCTGATGTTAAGGTTAGTTGGGACAGATCTCGGTTGAAGTTTATACAATCTTGCTGCCCTCAATAAGAAACTGAATAATACAAAGATGTTTTTGAAAGTGTCGCAAAAACATATGAGCTTGTGGACACACTGCTGGGGTCCCTTCGAGGCCCTGGAGGGGCCTACACAAGTGAGGGCCTGTGGCTTCTTCGGCTGCGGTGTAGGTCCGTCTGAGTTTGGTGTTGTGAGTCACGTTGGCCCTGCCCAGTTCCGGGCAGCGGTGTGCAGGTCATGGGAAGCCCCAGGACCTGAGAAGGTCACCCCTTTACCTTCAGGAGTTCACAGCCTATGGGGGGGCATTGGTGAAAGACGGACATTTCACAGATCTTTTCTTTGAGTGTCTCCTGTGTACCAGGCTGAGTGCTGTGTGCTCGTAACTAAGAGTCCCTTTCTGAGAGAGCTTGGAGTCTGGGAAGGGGTGCTGTTTGAGAAGAGAGCAAAATTTGGAAGAAAGTAGGACTGGGTTTGACTATGACCTGTTCCCTTTTTAGCTGGGTGACCTCAGGCGGGCACATTACTTCACCTCCGGAGGAAGCCGCTTAGCTTGTGTCAAAACAAGGCAGAAATCTGGCACACGGGTTTGGTGTGATGTTCAGACACGATGCCTTATGATGCTTGGCCCGTGGCAGGCTGCCAGTTTGACATTCCTTTTCTGCTGCTTTCAAGGCACCAAGAACCAACCTGACAGGCCAAGGAGTAACCGGGGTGTCATGATACACCAAGCGCAAGACTGTAAGCACCATGAGGGTACTTAGTAGTAGCTGACACTATCTTACTGGTTATCTATATTTCGTCAGTAAAATTTAAACTCCATGGTGGGCAGGGGCCTCTTCCTGTTTGTTCATCACTGTGTCCACAGCACCTAAAACACGGCCTGATATGTCGGTGACACTCAGTAAATGTCTCTCGAAAGAATGAGTAAAGGAAATGTGCTTGGTGTTTTCCATGTGTAACAGCTTGACATGCTCCTGAGAGTTGTAGTTCACTTATTTCAGGCTCCTTTTCCTTGAATATTGCCGCGTATGTTCGTTTGTCTCAACCTCGGCCCTGTTTGGCATTTGGGGCCAGATACGTCTTTGCTGTGGAGGGGTATCCTGTCAATTGTAGGATGTTTAGCAGCATCCCTGGCCTCTACCTACTTGATGTTATTAACACCTCTTCCTCCAAGTTGTGACAAACAAAAACATCTCTGGACAGATGTCCCCTGGGGGCCAGAATCGCCCCCAATTGGGAACTGCTGGCCCACGCAGTAGTTTCAGGCTTAGTGAAAAGAAGCTCTTAAAGTCTTAGGGTCAGGACGGATCGTAAAGGTCGTGGGTTATACCTTCTCTACTATCCATTTATAAGTGTCCAAGCCAATCCAGCTGCACCCACCTCCTCTGACATATTCTCAGTGCCAACAAATGAGCCAGCCAGCCATGCACCCTTTGACACACACAGTGACGGAACCATTCTGAGCACATGGCTGCATGGAGCCGGCCAGGCATGGTGCCCATGTGTAAACACTGTCGTTAACGCCTTGAAAGCAATGCCCTTGCAAAAAGATGGAGTTGGAACAGCTCTGCCTGATCGCCACATTCATGCCCTGCCCTCCTACTGCTTCCCTTTCTTCCCTTTGTTTTTATTGATCTCAATCATCTCCCTGGCCCTTCCAGAAGCATTTTGAAAATGGAAGGCAGGAAAGAAGAAAGAGGAAGAGGAGAAAAAGGAAAAAGGAGGTAAGAAGAACATGAGTGTGGCACCACCCAAAGATAACACCCAGAATAATTAGCCTTGACCATCATTGGGCTCCGTAGAGTTGGATCTGTCCTATCAGTGCAACCTAAAGATGAGGTTGGAATGGTTCTACCACTGTCTGCAGGCAGGCTTTCTCTAGGGAGAAAGAAATTGTTTAGAAGGCATCTGGAAGGTGCATCTCAGAGTTTCCCATAAGGACAGGTAATTGGTTTGGGGCGGCCTCTTTTAGTGGAATAGAATAGGAAATACTCTAGAATGATACCTAATAAAGCATTTGAGTTGGGAAACAGGAAGGATGCATTTTTCTGCCCTGTGTAAACTGTAGAAGGATCCCTGAGGTATGAGTCTGTAATATCTTGCCTCTCTCGCATTACCCTGAATTGGAGTAATTTGCCATCCTGTTTCATGGACTATCAACTGCCTCCAGGCCTGGGGTTCAACTTTCTCCCTCTAACTTGCAAAGCAGGCAGATTCTCAAGAGGGCGCCATTCCCAGGGGAGGGAGAATGATTTTTGCTCTTCACCTCTAGAAATCATACATATTTTGAGGGTTCTGCACTTGCCCCTGGCACAGAGAACTACCATGCCGGTTACTGGTTGACCTCCTCGACCCAGCTTCTCTGGTGGCAGGGCTCTTAGAAATATCAGTTCAGTGACTCTTGGAATGACGCTGACGTTTCACTGCTGGCTCTGCCTGTATCGGGGTTTGGTTTGTTCCGTTTCTGCAAATCAAGCTTACCTCCTTCCCTAATTTTCCTTTTGTTCCCCCCCCCACCATCACCACTGGAATTTTGACTCCTTCTGACATCTGTGTGTGAACTTATATATCCCTCATTGTCAGTGAATTTGCATTTGCTCATTGTATAGATGTGGTCATGCCCATAATGTTATGCTCTCTTTGAGGAGCTTCAACAGCAGGACACTATAAAAAGAACTAAAATGAGAAAAGTAAAAGGCCGTATAGCTTGGTGGTTAAAAGCTTGGTCTTTCTGATCCAGCTGCCAGCCAAACTGCAAGTTCTGGAGATGTGACCTTGGGCAAGTTACTAATCTGTCTGTGCCTCAGTCTCTCATCTGTAAAATGGGTGTAATTAAAGTATTTGCTGTCTTCACGGAGTGGTTGTAGAGATGGGAAAGGATAATCCATGGAAAACTGCTGAGCATATGGCTTGATGAATAGTTAACATTCAATAAATGCTAGCTAGTATTATTAAAAGAAACTTCTCAAGAATAGTTTGGCTTTTTTTGGTTTTTTTGATGTTTCCTGCTCTGACTCAGTGTTCTGTTTTATTTTAGGTTCCATTTTTTGGGCGGAGAATGCATCACACGTGTCCATGTATGCCGGGCTTAGCTTGTTTACGGACTTCGTTTAATCGATTTATTTGTTTAGCCCGAAAGTAATCACTTTGGAGTAGAAACTTGAAATGTGAACAGCCGCACGATGTCTGTAAAGTCTATTTACTTGTGATTGTGCCAAACAAGTAAGATGCCAGAAAGAAATGCTGTTGCTTCCTCAACTTTCCAAGTAACAGTTCTAGCTTTGATTTTTAAATGATGGTTTTTTTAAATTGAAAGAGGATTTTAATTTTGGACAGAAATGTAAAGTGCAAGGCATTATGGAACCAGTTCTCGTTTCCCTGTTTGTGTTTTGGTTTGGTTTTGCTTTTTTTTTTTTTAATGCCAATAACTCACCCATTTTCACAAAAATGAGGAGAACAAGAATTTGATATTTTGTTACAGAAACTTATTTTTCCTTAAACCCCTGTCCCCAAGCCCTGGCCCCAGATACACACACACACACACACAGCCCTTTGAGTCTCGTCTCTCACTCGTCAAGGAATTTTAAGTCTGTCACTTTATTCTTTGCCATTTCCCTCTCTGACCTTCTAGCATTTTAAAGTGTGCGCGTGGGGTCCATGTCCTTTAACTTGCTGGCAGAATCACTGACAAGAATCAAGCTTTTTGCTTGATACTTAAACAGTGGAAAGAGTCTAGTGGAACCAGCTGCTCCAGACTTCTCTTCTGTGGGGTGGAGGTTGGGGTGCTTCTGAATTTCCACTGAACTTGCCTCTGAGATGGACTTCAGGTCTGCTGTTTGACTGGGGGGAGGACAGGAGGCATGGAAAGTCAAATTAGTCCAGATTTGTAGATTTGGGGTTTTTTTTTTTTGAAGGCTTTTCTAATACAAGATTACTTTTATTTCTCTTTCTCTTTATAAAACTTTTTTTAAAGTCTCATAGTTAGAGATGTTCCAGAAAATGTCACTTGAAGAGGAAGTATTGATTTTAATCTGGCATAACACTAGTTACCATTTTTAAATCGGTATTACGTTGTAATTTAAACTTTATCTGTAACCAAAAGGTCTGTTGTAATGGATTGCCTGACATCCTGCCATTTGTACCTGTATCAATATTGTGTAAAAATTCTGTATCAGAATAATGACAGTATTGTATATCATTTGATTTATTTTAATATTATATCCTTATTTTTGTCACAGTTGTCGTCAGTTTTTATTACAAGGAAACTCCTCTATAGCTCACATTCTAAAGTGGGTAAAGACTCCAAAGTTGGTAAAATAGCACTAACGGCATGTGCATTTTCATTTTACATACAGGAAAGTTCTGTTTGCATGAATTTTAAGGTAGTACAAAAAATAAACAGTGTGTAAATCAGTGAGGTTTTGGAGCACAACGGAAAATTATGACATGCAAAACTGACTGTAATCAGGAATGGACTCATGGGATTTCACTGTGTTGATCTGGCCAATAGTGCCGGAGTGTTTGTCATGGTTAGGCAGGTGCTAGCCAAAAGGCGATGCCCGTGTAGCCTGGCCTTGAAAAACCCACGGAGTATTGTAAATGATTGAACGTCGCAAATAAACAACTTATGAAATGCGTTCAACTGACTAAACTTGACCATGCCAACCCACTAACTGTTTCCAAAAAAAAAAAAAACTGTCCATTTGTAGTTCTTTACTCAGCCAGGGCTTACAATTGTACATTGTGTGTAACTTTACCCTTGGGGTTAACACGTCCCATGAATGTATGGGATTTTGCTGTGCTAATTGCCATACTTCATCATAGAAGTATTATTTTTGGTTCAGTTAGTTTGTTTTCAAGAAGCTTTCCTCAGCCCAATGGTGTAGTGGTTGGGTTTGCGTTCTCCACTTCAGCAGACTGGGGTTCCCGGATTTGGATCCCGGGCATGGACCTACACACTGCTCATCGGCCATGCTGTGGCAGAAACCCACATACAAACTGGAGGAAGATTGGCACAGATGTTAGCTCAACGGCAGTCTTTCTCAAGCAAAAAGAGGAAGATTTGCAACAAAGGTTAGCTCAAGCCCAATCTTCCTCACCAAAAAAAAGAAAGAAACATTCCTCAGTGAATTTGTTGAAAAAAAATTCAAGTGGAATTGTGGGAAAAGAAACAGGCACTTCCATAATTTTGCTCAATGTTGTTTTTATATAGTGTTTGATACATCCTTTTTCATAAGTGGTGAAAACTTAATAGGGTCAATCATCGATTTTCACCCAAGTTAGAAAACATATAGCTAATTTTTATAAAATTTTACTTTTACGGATACCAACTCAATTTTTCGAAAAATCACTACCTAAAGAAGTAGACTGGGGCCAGCCCAGTGGTGCAGCAGTTAAGTTTGCATGCTCTGCTTCAGTGGCCCGGGGTTCACTGGTTTGGATCCCCAGTGCAGACATGGTACTGCTTGGCAAGCCACGTTGTGGCAGGCGTCCCACATATAAAGTAGAGGAAGATGGGCATAGATGTTAGTTCAGGGCCAGTCTTCCTCAGCAAAAAGAGGAGGATTGGCAGCAGATGTTAGCTCAGGACTAATCTTCCCCAAAAGAAAAAAGTAGACTGTGTGTTCATAGCCAAGAGAACTGTACCTACTGACTCACTGCCATCCAAAGAAAAATGGGACTTTGTCATTTGTTACCTTTCCCCTGGGTTATTATTTTTATTGAGGAGTAATGCTCCCTTTTTTTAGTGTACAGTTCTATTTTGTTATTATTTTTTAACTTTTTATCAAAATTAATTTCAAATAATTGTTTCAAAAAACTTGTAATCATGCGTCGTGGAGGTTCATACAAAGTTTAGTGCTGTAAAGATCATAGTATTGCTGCTTCTAGCCCTGGGGATAGTATCTCCCTGAAGCTGGGACTTCATTGGCCAGAATTTCTATAAGGTTAGGTAAAGTGAGAATTTACACAAGAAAAACTAAGTCAACAATCTACGGTGATGTAATTTTTTTTTGCTGAGGAAGATTCTGCCTGAGCTAACATCTTTGGTAAAGTTACTCTTTTTTTTTCTCCTTGAGGAAGATTAGCCCTGAGCTGACATCTGTGCCAATCTTCCTCCATTTTGTATGTGGGGCACCGCCACAGCGTAGCTGGTGAGTGGAGTAGGTCTGCACCCGGGATCTGAACCTCTGAACCCCAGGCCGCGGAAGCAAAGCACCCGGAACTTTAACCACTACAACACAGGGCCGGGCCCTACTTTGAGGTAAATATTGTGAATGGATTCCATCTATTCTAAGGTAGAAATAGATCTGATGCCAGAAGCTACGGACCAAATTCAAGTGCAAATTTGAATTTCTTTGCAAACTTTGACTTTAATGAAAAATGTCATTTCTGACTTCTACCTTTTTTAAAGCAACATTTTTTTAACCATAGAAAAATTTGTGCCAAAACCATTTCCATAGAAACCCTCCTGTCTAACTAAAGGTCTCCATCCTTCCAGCATTTCAGTCTATGTAGTCCTTTTGTTGGAACTTGACAAAGTCAGTCCAATGATAGATCAAACACGTAAACCAATTTTCCTCCTCATTGATTTTAATATCAGAAATCTCATCCCACTCTTTTCTAGCTTCATTTTATAGAATATTAAAGTTGGGGACCATTTTAATTTTAAAAACAGGACTTTTTGGTATTCAGTGAGTGTCACTGTCTAAAATTCACCAGCAACATTTTATGATCTTTCTGTTTCAACATGTTGCCATGTATTTCAGGTAATATCCTCAGAATTAATATTTCTTTCATTCTCTAATATCTTCTCCCTAATTTGTTAATCCTCAGTGCTTCCTTCTGCATTAAAGAGGACTGTGTTTCTTCTAGTATGTTCTCCTGTGTCTCGAAGACAACAATCATTAACAACATAATCCTTAAATTTTATTACCCTCCTCCCTGGCACTTCCAGAGAACATAGTTCCCAGAATCAGAGGTGCCATTAATATGCTGCTCTTGAAGTACCACTCCATTGTTTCCATCATCTGCACCCTCAGAGATTCTGGTTCCATTTGTCTGGGGTGAAGCCTGAGTGTTGGGATTTTTTTTTTTAAGCTAATCGTTTAATTCTAAGGTGCCCCATGGTTGGCAGCCACTGAGAAAGAAAAGGAATACGCCTCTATAGAAAGGCTCCTGCTTCCACATGACATCACTTGATGAGACACTTTCCTAGTTAAATTAGAAGTCAGGAGAGCAGCTAAATGTCTTTTCTTGCCCCCCTCGAAAGTTCCCATGATGCTCAAGCATAAACGATTCCACTTTCTTTCTCCCATCGCTACTTCTAGCGGGAAGCTCGCAGAGGGGTCCCACTTGAGAATGTTAGTGGCAGTTCTGTAGCTCATCTGAGGAGTCTATCCAAAGTTCCTTAGAATTAGATTAGGGAGGCAGGCCCGGGTCTGGCAGGGCAGGGAGCCGCAGCTGCCCAAGATTCATGCCCTGCCTCTTCCTTTGGGTGCCCCTCCCAGGTGAGTCAGTCTCGGAACTCCCGAGCAGGTCCTCCACTCTCCCATCTCAGGATTTGTCTATTTTACTGGGCCCGTAAATCATCAAAACGCTTTAGAAAGTCCAATATTGCAGCAAATTGTAACTGAGTAGCTCAGACTAGTAGGCATTTCAATCAAACATATATATGTCACAAAAGAATAAAAGCAAGACAGTGGAAAATTATGGCGTGAGCATGATTTCTGATGATGAGATGCACAGGCTAACCGCTATTATGTACATACAGAGTATGTGTCCTTGTGTCCACGGGGCATTTTCATTATTATGAAGCCTGGAACACCCACTCATGTTGTGCCAGCTAGGCAAAACCATGGCCTGCTCCTTGAAGAGACCACTGCGAATATTTCCAGGCATTCTCTCACTTTAGCCCAGGATTTCTCAACCTTGGCACTACTGACTTTCTGGGCCAGATAATATTTTTGTTATGGGAGACTGTCCTGTGCATTGTAGGATGTTTAGCAGCATCCCTGGCCCCTACCTACTAGATTCCAGGAGCTCCTCTGAGTTGTGACACCCAAAAATGTCTCTAGACAGTACCAAATGTACCAAATAGGTGTGGGGAGGGGTAAATTGTCCCCCTGGTTGAGAACCACTGGTTTAGTCTGAAGATATTTTGTGTCTGCTTGTGTAAAACTTGTTTCAGTATCAAACAGAATTTGAAATGACAGTATTAAAAAAAAAATTAAACCTCCAAATGAGGCTTTACAAAATTGGCATCCTAAAAATAAAAAACTATTGTTTTGCATTCAAATTAGTGGAAAGCTAAATATTTGATACACTGTAATAGTCAGTCAAAGAAATATCAGTTATCTGTCAGCTCTGTAGTTTACTGTTTCAAGGAAGAAATTTTTATATTGTCACTCTTTCAAGCTGAAAGCAGAGGGCTCAGATAAATTGACTTCAATCATAGATGAAAGATTTCACATCTTTAGAGTGCACTTATAAGCAAATTTCCACATTGTTTAAATTTTCATCATCTTGATTAAAATATGATGTAATTTATGAAAAATGTTTTTGTTGCAGAAATTCAAAAGCTTTACAAGGAAAATTGGAGAAAATGATGTTTAAGTTAGATCTGAATAACTGTTGAGAAGTTTCACAAATTGAGTTTTCTCAGTCTGTCTGAGAACAGACACATTCCCCATAGACAAGATTGAGGCTGGCACGAGTGTATTTGCTTCATTCCTGAAAACAAACTAGCAAAACAACAAAAAACATTTTATTATGGAAAGTTTTAAAACATAAACAAAAGTAAACAAAGTTGTATAAGGAAACCTCATATATCCATCATTCAGTATTTTATTATCGGTTATCATCTCTGTGCCAGTCTTGTTCCAGCTCTACCCACCCAACCTCCACCTCTCCTGTATTGTCTTGAAGCAAATCAATTTGGTCCCTTCTTGATGGGGTCCACTAGTCACTATCCACTGTGGGAAAGACAGCCATATTCTGTGTGTCACCAATAACATCAATCTTTTTTCGTACTTTCTTTCTTCTTCTTCTTCTTTTTTTTTTTTGGTGAGGAAGATTGGCCCTGAGCTAACATCTGTTGCCAATTTTCCTCTTTTTTTGCTTGAGGAAGATTGTTGCTGAGCCAATATCTGTGCCAATCCTCCTCCACTTTATGTGGGATGCTGCCACAGCATGGCCTGACAAATGGTGCTGGGTCCGTGCCCAGGATCTGAACCCCCA